TTAATGTAATATTTTAATGCTCTCAGACAACCATCTTGATATTTTTATTTCATTTATTTATTTTTTTGCTTTCTGGGTCACACCTGACGATGCACAGGGGTTACTCCTGGCTCTGCACTCAGGAATTACTCCTGGCGGTGCTCAGGGGACCATATGGGATGCTGGGAATCGAACCTGGGTTGGCCGCATGCAAGGCAAATGCCCTACCCTCTGTGCTGTTGCTCCAGCCCTGATATTTTTATTTTTTCAAGTTTCAGGATCCAGGTCTGCCACTCAGCTATACTACTGGCCCACCTTGATTTCTCTTTTTTGTTTGTTTTTGGGTCACATCCAAGTGGTGCTTAGGGTTTACTTCTGGCTCTGTGCGCAGAGGTCACTCCTGGAGGGCTTGGATACTGGGGATTGAACCTGGTTCAGCTGCATGCAAGGCAAGTGCCCTACCCACCATGTTAATGCTCCAGCCCCTCATCTTGATTTTTTTAATTTTATGCATTCTTTTTGTTTTTGGGCCACTCGGTGATGCTCAGGGTTATTTCTAGCTCTTCACTCAGGAATTCTGGCAGTGCTCAAGGTGCTATATGGGATCAGCTATGTGCAAATCCTATTGTACTTGGTATATTATCTGACTAATGCTGGTGATTTTTTTTTTCTTTTTGGGTCACATCTGACGATGCTCAGGAGTTCCTCCTGGCTCTGCACTCAGGAATTACTCCTGGCAGTGCTCGGGGGACCATATGGGATGCTGGGAATTGAACCTGGGTCGGCCATGTGCAAGGCAAACGCCCTACCCGCTGTGCTATAGCTCCATCCCTGCCCTGGTGATTATTATTGACCACGGTGGATAAGTTTGCAGAGGGGAGGCAGATCTGAGAGAAGGGAGACAAAATCAGGCACCATCTAGACACTAGGACCACAGACCACCAGTTCCCTTAGCCCTTAGAACAGAGTTAAAAGACAGGTAGAAAAATAATAAGTTCAGGGCTGGAGCAATAGTACAGTGGGGAGGGTGTTAGTCTTGCACACGGCCCACCTGGGTTCGATGCCCAGCATCCCATATCGTCCCCTGAGCACTGCCAGGAGTAATTACTGAGTGTAGAGCCAAGAAAAACCCCTGTGCATTGCCAGATGTGATCTAAAAAATTCCTGAGTTCACATGGTAAAGAGAAAAGAATTTGGGGGTGACTCAGTGGTGGAGTATATATCTGCAAGCAAGAAACGTAGGTTTGATCCAGACACTTAAAAAAAAAAGCGCTTGTGGTTGAGGTTGGAGAGCAGAAAAAGAAGAAAAAGAATCAAAGGTACAAAGTGAGTAGAAGGTACAAGGAGGCCTTGGCGTTGCTCAGACCCTTCTGAGCACACTCACATGCTGCTCGACTTGAGGGGTGGTGGCGAGCACCGAGGTTCTTTTGGTTTTGTTTCCCCTCACAGCAGAATGCACCCTTCCCTTCTTCCTTCCCTCCCTCCCCCTTCCCCTTTTTTCCTTCCTTCTCCCCATTCCCTCCTCCGTCCCTCTGTGAAGCCGCAGTGCAGTGTTGGGGCTGAGAGATGGCACAAGGGTTAAGGTGCTTGCCTTGCAGACGGTGGCCCTGGGTTGATCACTAGCACCACTTACGATCCCCCATTAATTTAGTAGTTGCTCCTGACTCGGGAATAGCACCCGTCCTGCCACAATCCCTACCTAAAAGAGATGTGCCTCGGCCGGGATTCCCATCCTGGGGCGTCCTCGAACCCAGAGTTCCCCACAGGTTCCTCTAGGCTTGCTTAGTGGGGAGAGGGAGGACTGGTTTGCAGCCCCAGGAGCTCGCTGACACCTGACCCTGCACTAGCCTCTGGGACTGGAGGCGGAGGCCCAGCTCAGGTACCTATGGGGGTGGCCTCTCCCTTTGTTCCACATCAAGAGCTGAACACCCAGCACCGTCAGAGCCTTGTGCCGGGGAGATGTAAGGAAGAGCGCGCCTGCTCCCCTCCTGCCAGGGGTTGGCCTGGGTGACTGATGTGCTTCCTGCTTGCTTGTCCAGGAGTTCATTCAGAAGTGCCTGCAGCCTGAGCCCGCTCAAAGACCCACAGCCAGAGAACTTCTGTTCCACCCGGCACTGTTTGAGGTGCCCTCGCTTAAACTCCTCGCTGCCCACTGCATCGTGGGACACCAGCGTGAGTCCCCTTGGCTCCCCCGACTCCGGGGCCTTCAACTGAGTGCTCACCTTTCCTTTCTACTTAAAGGGATTCTTTGCCCTGGGCTCCCTGGGTCTTCTAGACCAGTTTCTCGACCTTCTCTGACCTTGTTACCTCCTGTGCCCCCTCCCTCCGTCCCCGTGATTGGGCCCGCTTTATGTGATTTTCACCCGTGGCCCCCTTGAATATCGTTGGGGCCTACCCCATTGGGGCACATTGATGTAGGATGCTAATCTGATTTACACGTTTCACCGTAGAGTCAGCAGCCCACACAATCACTGGACTATTCTTTTTTCAGTCCAGAGACTCTTGACAACTCTTTATAAGTTAGATAATAATCACTGATGATTATGCTGTGCAACACGGTATCCGTAACTCCCCGTTTGTCATGCCTCCAGATATGATCCCCGAGAATGCTTTGGAGGAGATCACCAAAAACATGGATACGAGTGCTGTACTGGCTGAAATCCCTGCAGGCCCAGGAAGAGACCCAGTTCAGACTCTGTGAGTAACTTGAGGGGAACTCACAGGCCGCTCTCTCGGCTCTGTTGTTGTCCATTGTCTGACAGAGGCAGCACCCTGCTTTCCTTTCTCCATCATTTTCTTTCCTCCTCCAGATACTCCCAGTCACCAGCTCTGGAGTTGGATAAATTCCTCGAAGATGTCAGGTGAGGGGAGAGTGACAGGAAAGGCTCTGAGGAGCAGGGGTGGGTGTCCACAGGCATGTCCAAGGAGCGCGGGTGACCTGTCGCATCTCCCTCTAGGAATGGCATCTACCCCCTGACGGCCTTTGGGCTGCCTCGGCCACAGCAACCACAGCAGGAGGAGGTGACATCACCTGTGGTGCCCCCCTCTGTCAAGACCCCAACACCTGAGCCAGCTGAGGTGGAGACGCGCAAGGTGAGGCCTCTGGGGATCTCTGGTGGAAGGGAGGGACAGCAGCTTGAGTCAGGCTTTTGTTCTTCAGACCAATGTTTTAAATTTTTCAGCTGCACTTGGCCATGCTCAGGATTTAACTCCTGACTCGGCTGCACTCGTATCACTCCTGCTGGGGCCAGGGGGACCATTTAAAGTGCCAGGGATTGAAGTCACCAGCTGTACTATCCTCCGGCCCATGGTCTCCAGAGCAGTGTTTTAAAGAATTTTTTTAAATTTTTGCTTTTTGACCACACCCAGCGATGCTCAGTTTTTTGAAACTCCTGGTTTTGCATTCAGCACCCCAGGCTCCCTGGTGGTGCTTGAGGGATCATATGGGATGCCGGGGTTTGAACCCAGGTTGGCCGTGTGCAAGGCCAACGCCCTCCCCACTGTACTATCGCTCCGGCCCCCCAGAGCAGTAGCTTTTAACTATTACCTGTGGCCAATGGATTTGTGACAATTGAAAACCATTGTTTTAGGGACCATAGTACAGGGGGTTAGGTGTCTGCTTTGCGTGCGGCTGATGTCTGTTCAGTCCCTGCCATCACATACGGTCGACCCTGAGAACACCACCTGCAGTGATACCTGACCACAGAGCCAAGAGTAAGCCCTGAGCATGGCTGAGCTGAGTTGGCCCCTCTACACCTCCCCCCCACCCCCAAAAAAGAAGAAAAATCTAGTGCTTTAGAGAGGAGTGTTTCTGCTCCCTGGCAACCATGTTGTGGGGCCTGGGCCGTTGGTATGCACTGGGCCCCACACGAGCACCCCTGTGTCACCCCTGCTGCAGGTGGTGTTGATGCAGTGCAACATTGAGTCCGTGGAGGAGGGTGTGAAACACCACGTAAGGCCCAGGCTCACTGTGGCGGGCAGGCGGGTGGGCGGGCAGAGGCTGGGCTCAGGAGCCTCGGTTTCTGAGTGTCCTGTTCTCCAGCTGACCCTTCTGCTGAAACTGGAGGACAAACTGAACCGGCACCTGAGCTGTGACCTGATGCCAAGTGAGTCTTATCTGTGAGGGACAGGCTGCAGGGGTGGGTGGCTGCGAACGCCCGGTGGGAGGGTGCGCCTCTGAGGTTCTGCTTGTTTGGTTCTTCCCCAGCCAGGCTAGTCTGAGTGGCTCTCTTGGCCGCCCCCTCCCACACCTCTCACCCTCTCCTGTTTCTCTGTCAGATGAGAACATCCCTGAGTTGGCAGCTGAGCTGGTCCAGCTGGGCTTCATTAGTGAGGTGAGGGTCCTGCCCTGGGCTGCCCTGCCCGCTGCCTCTGGCCTCTGTCTGACCGATCGCGCTCTCCCGCAGGCGGACCAGAGCCGGCTGACGTCCCTGCTGGAGGAGACCCTGAACAAGTTCAACTTCGCCCGGAACAGCACCCTCAACTCCGCCGCTGTCACCGTCTCCTCCTAGAGCTGGCGCGGGCCAGGCCCTCCACTCCACTGCGGCCCCCTCGGGCCCAGCCTCCCCGCCCTCCCCCAGTCAGTATTACCCCCTGAGGCCCCTCCCTCTCCTGGGTCGTTCAGGAGGGCTTCGGGGCTCCCTGGTTCTGAGCATCACCTCCCCCGCCCCTTCCCTCCCCTCTGCACTTTGTTTACTCGTTTTGCACAGACGTGGGCCTGGGCATTCTCAGCAGCCTTCAGTCGGGGGCTAGTAGCAGACTGCCGGCCCCGCCCAGCCTGTGTGGACCGGCGGCCCGAGGCCCTGGGGAGCCGCTGGGCGGACGGGGCGGGCGAGAAGGGTGGTGCTGCCGGTGGCCCTGGGGGGCCATTCCATTCATTTGCCTCAGTTGCTGCTGTAATAAAAATCTACTTTTTGCTAAAAGCGTGGTGTGTTGGCGCCGTGGCCGCTAGGGGGCGCGGGCCGGGCCTTGCAGGTACGCGGCGGGCCGGCGGGCCGGCGGGCGCGCGGGCGCGCGGGCGGGGCGGGGCCGGGCCAGGTCCGCCCAGGTAGAGCTGCCGGGCGGCGGCGGCGGCGCGGAGGACGGGATGAGGTGCTGCCGCCTCTGCACTTTCGGTAACTTCCGGGGCCCGTGGCTCAGGCCCCCCGGGGCGGCGCGGCCTGCGGGCGCTTCCCCTCACGGCCGCGGGGGCCCGGGGGGGCGCTGGGTCCCCGCGCCGGCCCCGGCTCAGGCCCGCCCCTCCCCCGTGCCTTGCAGACGCGGCCCGGGGCCCCCGGCGGCTTATGCGCGTGGGGCTGGCGCTGCTCCTGGTGGGCCACCTGAACCTGCTGCTGGGGGCCGTGCTGCACGGCACCGTCCTGCGGCACGTGGCCAACCCGCGCGGCGCCGTCACGTCGGAGTACACGGTCGCCAATGTCATCTCCGTGGGCTCGGGGCTGCTGGTGAGAGCGGCCGGCCGGCTGGGCGGGCGGGCGGCGGCGCCGGGGCCGCGGACTCACGCTTCCTGCCTTCCAGAGCGTTTCCGTGGGACTCGTGGCCCTCCTGGCGTCCAGGAACCTTCGCCACCAGCAACTGGTGAGGCGATTTCCTGGAACCTGGCGGCGGGCCGTTGGGCTTCATCCTTCAATGGGGAGGCGGGGCCTCCTGGCGAGAGCTGGGCGCTGGGCAGAGTGGTCAACGGGCATGTTGGCCACCTCCAGGCCATTCACCCTGATGTCTCCCGCCAGCACTGGGCCATGCTGGGCGTCGCTCTGGCCAACCTGTTGCTGTCTGCTGCGTGCTCCCTGGGCATCCTCATCGCTGTGGCCCTCACCGTGGCCAAAGACTCACTTGATGCCGAGTGCCATCCGGTTCCGGCGGACTTGCTGCCGCTGGACGAGGGGCACGGCCAGGTGGATTGCCCTTTTGACCCCACCAGAATCTACGTGAGTGCTCTCTCCACGCGTGGCCCAGCCCCTGGAATTCCCCCTGGCCTCGGCTGCCCGGTCCCCACCCTTCCTCTTCCCCTTCCAGGACACGGCCTTGGCGCTCTGGATCCCGTCACTGCTCATGTCCGCGGCCGAGGCGGCTCTGTCCGCTTACTGCTGCGTGGCTGCCCTCACGCTGCGCGGGGTTGGGCCCTTCAGGCAGGAAGAGCTGCAGGGGCAGGTACGGGACGGACCAGGCGCTTCGGTCCTGGGCTCTGGGCTAAACTCGAGGCCGGGCGGGAGAACACGAACGCCGCTTTTCTGCAGCTCGAGGAACTGACAGAGCTGGAGCTCCCTAAACAAAGAAGGCAGGAAAACGAGCAGCTCCTGGATCAGAATCAGGAAATCCAGTCCCCACGGAAAAACTGGGCGTAGCACAGGTAGTGGGTGAAGAGGACGGAGGGCCAGGGTGGGGGCCTGCCCTCAGGAGCTGGGGCTGCCTCTGCTCCGGCCTGGCGCTCAGACACAGGTTTCTCCATCAGGCAGGTGCTGTCCTGAGGCTCCGTCCCACGGGGGTCTCCACTTACCCTCAGGATGTGTAGATGACGCTAATAAAGAACTTTTCTCCTACACGCTTCTTATTCCTTCTGGGGGAGAAAAGGCCCTGGGCTGGGGCGGGGGCTCGATCGAAAGAATACAACGGTCTCAGCCACTCACTCGTACACCTTTAATGGGAGGCGCGTGGCTACTGGAAGGAGAAGCTGGTGCTGGGAAGCCCTCCGCACCACTGACTGATGAACTTCAGCACGTCCTGGCACACGGGGCTGTGCGAGGTCTGAGAAGAGGAAGCCAGAGGGGTCACCTGTCCGCACAGAGCAAGGCGGGACGTGGCCCGACACCCCTCCCCAAATAAAGTCAGCTCCTGAGCACCCTGAGAGTGGAGTGGAGGGGGGCGGGCCGACACCGGTGCTCCCCTGTGCCAGAAGTTGCTGTTCTGCATCAACCAGCCCCCCGTTCCCTGCAGTGTCCCTCTCACCTTGATAGCCATTAGGAACTTATTCCAGTTGTCTTTGTTTGCTGCTTTCCCATGCCGCTTAAAATCAATTTTGTTCCTCAAAATGGGGTATCCTAGGAAGAGGAACTGAGCCTGAGAGGGGCTGCCGGGGGACCCTCCATAGCAATTGGGGGGGGGACAGAAATTAGGTCTTTGGCCTCCTTTCTGGATCCTACAGCCTCTCCCTCCTTTCCTCCTCTCAAGAGTGCAGGGGTGCGGGGCTCCTGACCTGTGATGAGGCAGGGCAGGGCTCGCACACCAGTGCTCGCTGCTACCAGGGAAGCCTCGTAGGCGCCACGCTCATCCCGAGGCAGAACCTGCTCCAGCCGCTGGTCCATGGAGACGGTGAGCACCCAGTCCCGGACCTCTTCTCTCTCAGCCTCCTGGGAAGGACAGAGGGCCCCGCAGCTTCAAGCAGGGCAGGATGTGGAAGGGGGTGCTCAGGAGCGGGTGGCCAGACACTCCTGGGCTCCCCTTTCAGTCACAAATGCTCTTCCTCGGACTGTCTGCGGGTTTGTCAGCCTCTGCCCCGGGAGGAGCAGTGAGGCCTTCTAAGATGGCAGCGCAGGGTCCTGCTGGTACCCACCATGAGCAGGGACAGGCCTGAGTGACCGCCCTTCTCAGGGCACCCTGGAGAGTCCCCCGAATCCTGCGCCCTTACCGGCACATGCTGCTTGGCAGGGAGGGGCACCTCGAAGGGAATGTCTGTGTCCTGGAAGTCAGAGTGGTCCAGGGCATCCAGCGTCCCTTCTTCAATGGCCTGCGGCAGGGTGGGCAGCCGTGAGACAGGCCCAGCCTGAGCCTGGCCTCAGCCTCCAGGCACCACTCGGGCCCCTACTCACGTCGGTCAGATCCAAGAACCGGTTGAGGAAGATGAAGGCCATGTTCTCCCAGCCGACAGCCTGCAGCAGAGAAGGTAGGAGTGTAAGCAACTGGGCATGGTTGCTGCCGGGAAGGGTCCAGAAGGAACCGCACAGCCCCCCCGCTATCACCCCACCCAGCTGGCTTCTACCTCAGAGACACCCCCTTGACAGAAAAATTGCTCAGTGCCCTCCCTGGAAATGAACCTTCTGGAAATGAATCCACACAGAGTGCCCAGCAAATGCACCCCAGGCTACTGGTGCCTCCCCCCACGGCCCGGGGACGCAACGTGCACTTCAGCTGCTGGCCTGCGCTTGCCTCTCTCCCAGCATCTTGATCTGCTCAGCACCCGGCCCACCCATCCTGGTCGCAGCTCACCTTGGAGGCCATGCCAGCCTCATAGAATGCCTTGTCTGCAGGTAGCAGCTGCGTGTGACGCAAGAGTGAAACAGAAAGTCTGGCAGCCACAGTTTCCTAGGGATTGAAAGCAGAGCACCTTGAGGCTGGGCGGCGTTGAGGGGCGGAGCACACGCTCTGCATGCCTAGGTCCTATCTGGTAACACATGCATGCGTGTACAACTCTTCAGTATGAGGATGCACACACTTGGCTCTTTGACCTGGGGATTACAGTCTCACACTCGGCTATGGTCTGAGGACTACAGTCTCACACACACATTCAGCTCTGTGCTCTGGGGACTACATTTTCGCACACACTTGGCTCTGTGATCTGGGGTCTTAGTCACACACGTGGCTCTATGATCTGGGGACTAGTTACACACACGCTTGGCTCTATGATCTGGGGTCTATAGTCACACTCTGCTCTATGATCTGGGGACTAAGTGTCACACACCCACACATTCAGCTCTATGATTTAGGACTACAGTCTTACACACACTTGGCTCTATGGTCTGGGGACTACAGTCTTGTACACACATATTAGGCCCTATGATCTTGGGACTACAGTCACATACACTTGGCTCTATGATCTGGGGACTATAGTCTCTCACACAGACACACACACACGGCCCTGTGATCTGGGCACTACAGTGACTAAGCCACCAGGTCAATGAGCTTAAAACTAAAGCAACCACAGGGCCAGAAAACTGCCGATAATAAAACTACTCTGGATCTCAAGTAGTTCTAGGTCTTTTTTTGGCTTTTCTTCCTGCACGAGAACACTGGGTCTATGTTATTTCCAATGTTTTTGGGGGCCACACCTGGTAGTTCTCAGGGCTTACGCTCAGGAATCACTACTGGTGGGGTTCAGGGGATCATATATGGTGCCAGGGATTGAACCCAGGTCAGCTGTGTGCAAAGCAAGTGTTCTAGTAGTGTCTGTACTATCTCTAGCTCCTATATTAATTCTAAATTTCTGTCCATTGCTAGAACTAGATTATCCAAGTCTGTGAGTACACATACAACACAATATCATGCATGAGCCTGAAACTGATCAGAAATCACAGGACTTTATTTATTATTATTTTCCTTCTGGGGCCACAAGAACAAAAATCTGGTGAAGCTCAAGGGTTATTCCTGGCTCTGTGCTCGGGAATTACTCCTGACAGTGCTTGGGGGACCATACGGGATGCAAGCCAGGCAAAGCACCTTACTGGTTGTACTGACCCTAAATGTTTAAACATAATGAGACTCTCAGGTACAGGAGGAAAGCCCTCTCAGCAAGGCCAAAGATGTATTTGAGGGGCCAGAGAGCTTGCTTAGGGGAAAGGCACTTATACTGCATAGGCTAATCCTGGTGAGACCCCTGGCCCTGAGCACTGTCAGGGGTGACTTCTGAGCAGAGCTAGGAATAGCCCCTGAGCATCTCTGGGTATAACGTATTTGAGGGTTGGATAGATGTATTTGAGGGCTGGTTCAATGGGCTGAGCACATGTTTTGCAAGCATGAGACTTGGATTCAACTCCTGGCATCATATGGCCCTCCCCCAGTCTGACTTAAAATGACTCCCCCACTCCCAGCACAGCCAGGGATGGTTCCAGAAACCTAACCTAACCCTCCCCCCACCGGCCCAAAGGAAAAGGTGATGGGAGAAGAGGGCCATGCTCAAAAGTAGGGAACTTGGACGCCTCCCTGGGCAGCACACCCCGGCCTTACCAGGGCTTTGACGCTCTGGGCTGCAGAGCGAGTGGCGTAGTAGTGGGCAATCAGCAGCATGGTCTCAAACTCCTCGTGGGCTGGCGAGTTGGCCTCACTGGACTTGGCCAGGTTTTCACACTAGGGCAGGAAGGGAGTCAGTGCACAGCCACCGGGGCCAGAGAGTGGCCCACCGAGGGTCCAGGCGCCACTTCCTCACCAGGTTGAAGAGGACATCGCGCAGGTCGGCCCAGCTGTGGTAGGCCTCGGCGCTGTTGCTCCCGGGCGAGCTCACCATGTCCGTGAAGATCCTCTTATAGATGTTGAAGTTCTGGAGGGGAGGAGGGCTGAGTGAGAGGGGACCATGGAGAGAGCAAGCCAGGGGCAGTGGCCAGGGGAGAGCTGGGAGGCTGAGAAGAAGAATCAGTGTCGGTTCCTTTCAGGGAAAAGAGGGCGGAGCAAGAAACCCACAGCTTTGCAGTTTGGCCCGAGGTGGGTGGTGGGTGCGGGGTGCTCTGCGACTGCCCCGGGCTGCGGCTTCAAAGGGCAACTCTTGGGAGAAGAGAGTGTTTCTGGCCACCCTGAGGGTCTGTGAGTGAGGAGAGAAAGGAGCAGGCTGGTACCTGGGGGTTGGCAGGGGCTCCGTGCTGCACGTACAGGGCCAGGGCCTGGGCGCAGTCGCCTTCTCGGATCAGGTGCGTCGCGTACAAAGCCACGTACTTGTGCAGAATCTTGTAGTTCTGCCCCGGGAAGGGAGGAGAAAGCATGGTGAAGATCCTGGGGCCCGGGGAGCAAGGGAGGGCGGGGGCTGGGGCAAAGCCAGGCCCAGCTGGGACTTCCACCCCACCTGCAGGGTGTGGGGGACGAGCTCTCTGAGGCATCTCAGGGGGCTGGGTTTCGGCGGGCACAGAAGTGCAGGGGCGGAAGGGAGCGCACCTGGCGGGTGGCTGTTTCGATGCACTTGTCCCACTGACCCTGCTCCACGTACAGGTCCAATGCAGCCACCACGTCCACACTCACTAGCTGAGGATGGGCAGAGACAGCGTTACCGCAGGGAGTGCTGAGGGGCTGTCTACTCCTGTAGGCAGCATGGAGGGGCCATCCACACGTGTGGGGAGTGGTGATGGGGCCATCCACACGCACAGGCAGTGTGGAGGGGCCGTCCAGACCCACCAGCCGACGCTGACTCACCGAGTCCACTTTGCCCTGGTTCTTGAGGAACTCTTTGTAATGCTGGTCCACATAGTCTTCGTACCTGTGAAGAGGTGGAGCTTGCACTTCCAGAACCTTCCTCAGTTACAGGAGGAGGCAGGAGAAGGTTCCAGAAGGTGGTGATCGCGCATACCGGGGGTCCAGCTCCTTGGCCACACGCTTGGCTTTGTTCCACTCCTCACCCTCAATGAAAGCATCAATGGCTTCCTTGACAAGGTCCAGGTTCAGAAAGAGCTCTGCGGCCTGCAGGGCGGGTTGGGGTGAGGAGGTGAGGCTGGCTTCCCACTCCACACCCCCTACTTCTCCCTCTACACCCCTGGCTCACCCAATCCCCACCACACACACATTCCTCCTGCCACACACCCCTATTCCCACTCCACACCCTGGCCCCCCTCTCCACACCCCTC